AAATCTTCATGCCTTAGAGAGAATCAGGATGTATTGAATGAGGGACTTAAAGCAAAAATGCTTTCATGCTTTCACAAAAACATAGCTGTTGCCCATCCGGACTCTAAGAGTAACTGCTTGAAAACAAAAGCACAAGATAAAGCAAAATCTACAAAATATATTCTAGCCACAGTAAAATAATTTGTTTGTAATTTTTTATCTGCCCTCCTATAGCTTCTGGGTTACTTTCTTTGACCAGGCCACAAGAGGGACAAATTTAGGTCCCATCCACGCAAAGTTTGGCTGCAGCCCCGTAATGTGATGCGAGGATTCATGACCCTTCCCAGGCACCGTGCTCTGCCTGCCCCAGTGGGCCTGGGTACTGCTGTTTGCGTCGTCCCACACAGATCCGGTTGCTGGACTTGGGCCTTTGCATTATAAATGGCTCAGCAGACAACTGTCATAATCTGGTCATCTGACTGCGTTATTGCTGTATTGCAGATTCATCTGTAACATATTTCACCAGTCAACAACCAAGCAAATATTTCATTAATCGTTATTTTCACCCTTGCCTCCAGAAATCCTTTTTTTTTTTTTTTTCCAGAGGTGTAGCCACATCCTCTTCAATAGTCTTCCTACTCTCATGCATTTTATTAGAAGTTTTCTCTAGGTAACAGTAATAATTGCAATATAACTATCTAGGTAGACCACCCTCAAAGATTTTATAAAATATATTTTTTAAATACAGTTTTGCAGTTTTACTGTATTTTTGTTTGTTTGTTTATGGCATAAGGGCACAATTGGGAAAAAAAAAAAAAGCTTTTTCCTAAAGTTATTTGTTGTATTTTAATGTGAAGTTTTATTTTTGCCAAGCACAAAAACAAAGCTTTGTTTTCTAGCTTATTTATTTACATTGAGATGCTCTTTCTTGATGGAATACACTTTTCTACAAGGTGTTCAGACTTTACAGGCTTGGAGGAAGACAGCAGAAAGGAGAAAGGTTTGCAGTCATGAGCCTTTCTTTTTCCTGGTGCAGCAAATTTCAGCAAATTCCATTAAGTCAGTATCAGAGTTTAAGCTTTCGCTCAGGTGTGGGTTTTCTTTCAGATAGCAGCACTACTACCGTGGGATTGTGCTGCTGAAAGGTGAAATAGGCAATGATGTATGAAACCTAAATTTTTACTTCAATTTACACTTTTACATCACTTCAACTTGATTTCTACTTTCCTTGGACAAGCTGACTCATGGATACTGGGAATGGGGCTAGGAACACTTCATCATCTTGTGCTTTAAAGATTAAATATTATGTGGGATGTATTTTGCATATTTTCAACATTTTTCTTCAGTTGTTTCTGCTACAAACCATTGTTTTACATATTATAAAGAATGAAGCAGAGTAAGGCTCTTTGAGAATCCCACTGCTGATCTGCCTTCTTCAAGCTTCTATATCTAATCTTTAGTAGTCACAAGATCAGTCCTACCAGGAGACAACCACTACTGACAGACAGCAAGAGATTTAGCTCATGATCTGCAGAAAGGGCAAAATGAGAGGAAGTTAGGCCATCTCTTGTTTCATAATGGTACACAGAAGCCTCTGAAGTGTTTTGATATGTTTAGATATGGTGTAAGCACTGAATGCAAAACAAAGACACTGAAGAATCATCACACAAAATATTCAAGGAAAGTCTGTAAAGCTGAAAGCACAAGTGATCTTATTCAGAAATGAACTCATGAGAGGGATTGCCAGGGCAGCAGTTTGGGAAGAGAGAACACAATAAGGGAGCAAAGGAGAGAAAAGAGTGGGAGTTCATTATTTTGCGTGAAGAAATAAACACATAGGAAGGGGAGGGCATTCAAAGGGGGGAACTAAGTAAGCTGTAAGCATTGGATTTGACAGCAGACAGACAGGCCAAATCAGAAGCTAGAAAGAACAAACTAAAATTGCATAATTTCTAGTCAGCAGAGAATAAGGAACAGGAGCAGTAGCTTCTTTTAATCAGAGCTTTTGGGAAACCATCCATCAAAATAAGTACAGCTGAGGGCAATTAATAAGTGAGTGCAGTTTAGACTTTGGTTCAAATAAACAATACAATGAAAGAGCTGCACAAATATTAATAATTCTAGAAAAGATGTATAGCTAAAGACATCAATCACAGAGCTGATAGCTAAGAGAAGAGAATGCTGAAGAACAGTTAGGAATAATGACTCTAGATTGTATAAAAAAGCTTTTCAAAAAGAAAATAATTTAATCAGACAGAACTGAGAAGAAACCACACTAAATAGAGATAACATGGAAAATGATGACTAGTGGAATTAATTGAAAAACAGAAGTTAGAGAATGAATTATAGTAGCAAGGTGGGCAATTGTGTAGCTGAAAAATCATTAGCATGAAACCCAAAGAAATTTCCAAAATAGGATATATCAAGAAGATTTGATAGTATATCACAGTCCTGTAAAACAGGAGAGGAAGAGAAAAAAAAATAAACAAGCAACATAAATAAATAAAACAACAAGAACAAAAAAAAAATAAAGTGAACTCAGATGAAAAAATATAGGGCAAGCTACCATGAGGGCACTAATAAGCTCTAAGCACTAATTACCCTAACCAGTCTCACCTGGGGCCACTTCACACACCCTCCTTCCCTCCTCACCTTGTCCCAAGAGCTCTATTTAAAGTCAGGGGCAGGAGTATTCTCTTTTTCTTGAGTTATTTGTTGAACTTTGTATGATATAGGGAACTTTTTCCAGGTTAAGAGGGGCTGATGCTTTGTCATTTCAGGTAAGCGCATCATTTAGGTCATGTAGGCTGCCTGATTTTGTGTCTAACAGATGTGTAGCTAGAGCAAAGCATAGATGGGGGTACCAGTGGTTCCAGAAGTCTAGGCAGAATCATTGTTCATATGAAGAATTTTACTCTGCTTTGAAACTAAAGGTAAGTACACTACTATCAAGGTAGGTCTGGGAGTAGGGTGCCAAATGTTTAGACTTATCTGCCGTAAGTGAGACTGGAAGGTATAGGCAGCGCCTGTATCCTGCTGTACTACTTGGAAAAGAGCTGCTGGAAGTTTAGGAGGAGGCCTCTGGAAATGGCCTCTGGCCCTTGCCTGAACCAGCAATATAATGGTTGTTCACTGTAACCTGGAGTTTCTCATGGGTAGATATTATTTGTGGTTGTTGCTTTATCTTAATAATATAATGATCTCTCTAATTTACTGAGTAATTAACTGAATCCAATGCCTAGTAATCACTAAACACCATGTCATCAGTATCAAAGTCACTGCACTTCATCTTCAGAGATATCTAAACAAAAAGGGGAAAATAAATCTGTTCACTCTATTATTAATTGAAGGAAATTTGAAAAATCATTGACAATAGAATCCTCTACAATAGGATCAAGGAAAATCTTATGCCTGAAAATATGCAGGCAGGTTTTCACCTTTTATTTATTTATTTTTTTTTTAGGCCTGACTACAGGTTTAAGAAATGTAGCCCACTGGGTGTTCCAGGCCAACATCACTACCCTGCAGCAAATACCTGAAATGAAGTTCAAAGCTTCATTGGGTTCATACTGGCTATGTTTCTAGATAGTATATGCTAAGGTTCTCTTACCCTTTTGAGTTTATTTGAATACAGTATAATGGCTCACAGTGATTATTTTTACCCTCTACAAAAAGGGTTTCATGGTATATCTTGCAGAGTTCTTTAATCTCTGCAGGATGTCTCTAATATTTTGTCAGAAAGAACAAGGAATTCAGGTTCATCTAGGGGTAGAGAGGGAAGATGTGGAAATCAACCTTAAGCCACCTTCTGGGAAGAAAATAGCAGTAGGAAGATGGTGGCACAAGGCACCTCTATGTGCCAGGAGGTTCTCAAGGGTAGCCAGCAGCAGAGCTAGATTCCCATACACAGAATGAACCAGTAGAAATAAAAAACACCTGAGTCATGATGAGAAAACTTGCTGAAGGTCAATGTTTCAACAGGAGGAAGGTGCCAATGCCAGTACTGGAATCAGCAGATACTGATACGTAATCTGTGCCAGAACAAACTCTGGTTTCAAGGCTGCTGTAAACAGGCTGTTTCGGTGCATTTTTGTGACCTGTCTTGCTTCCCTTTGCTGATAGATGGCAGCAAATAACAAAAGGTTTTCAGGCTCTGCTATTGTCTGCTCCTCTTTGCTAGACAATGTTACACTTTCAGAACAAAATGGTGCTATGCTAGCAAAATGTATGACCCTTGTAAAAGATGATGTGGTTTAACATGTCATACTGTTTAAACAAATGACATAACTTTGTCCATTGTGTTCATTTTTCCTTTAGAATGATGAATATTTTCTGGTTTTATATGAATGGTTTTGTTTTGCACTAGGTCTAGTGGTAGGTTCTCTGGTCAATGTATGCACTTCAGGGAAATCTCTCTTGGCATCTTGATCTCTTAATCTCCCTCTAGGCTTTAGATTCAAGTATGTGAACAATTCCTTTGGGTTATGCTGCCAGGACAAGGAGAAAAATAATGTTAATTACCTCTTATTAGGCAAATAATTATTGCTTTGGTGTTTATTGTAAAGACAGAGTTGCTCTGTTACTCTGTGGTGAGGGAAGCTGCGTTCATGTGGAGAAGGTTTGTTGAACTATACCGAATTTGGTCTTAAGAGGCTTTTTTTTCTCCCCCCCCCTTTTATTTTTTTCTTTAAGAAAAAGAAAGTACAGGGAGAAAGGCTGCTCCTACTTTACTGCAATTTAAGATTAAAGAGGAATCTCCGCGGTCGCCGCCTCCTTAGGCCGCACGAGCC